CAGGTTCCAGAAGGCGTGCGTCAGCTTGATGAGACTCGGCGACATGGCGAACGTGGACGGAAACGACTTGAGCGTATCGCAGTGCTCGTCGGACAACAGGCGGCCCAGGTCCATCAGAAGATAGTGAGTGAGCCGGTGCTTGCGCACGTCCGGCACACCGTCCAGCAGGTAGGCACGCGTGAGAGCGTGCAGCGAGCGCGGCGGGTAGTGGCCGTCGCCGTCTTCCTGCCAGAGCTGGCGCAACGGCTCACCCAACTCCTCCACCAAGCCGTCCACCATCAGCAGGCGTCCGCCCAGCTTGCGGCGCCGCTCGCCGTACCAGGCAGCCAGCGCACCGCCCGGGAACGCGAACTCGAGCGGATCACCTCCATCGTCCGCCTCCGCCTGCTCGGGCAGCAGGCCCGCGTGGCATAACCACAGGATCACCGACGCGTGGAGGCTGCGCACGCGCAGCACGTAGCTCTTGGACTCGAGCTCGCCGAGACCTACGTCTGTGTTCACGGTACGGGTAGCCATGGTGTGCAGCACGTGGCCGAGTCCGTCCAGCTGCGTGCGCAGCGCGTGCAGCACCTCCGTCTCGTCGGGCGCCAGCGGACCGCCGCTCAGATCGAACAGGCGCACACACGCGGCGTCCAGCTGCGTCACCACGTCGACGGCGCGCCGCCACAGCCAGTCGAGCAGCGCGCGCAGCGTGCAGCCCGAGCCGTCGGCGTCGCCGGAGCGCCAGGTGGCCGCGCAGCCGGCTACCAGCGAGCCGAAGCCACGCTCCAGTGCCAGCGTCAGCAGCGCCTCGCGCTGCTCAGCCGGTGTGACGGCACCGGGCGACACGAGGCCGGCGCGCCGCGCCGCCTCGTACGCCGGCAGCGGTCGGGCCAGCTGCGTCTCGCCGGCCGCCTCCAGCGCGCGCAGCAGCCGCTCCTGCGGGCCGACGAACGTCACCGGCAGCACGCCTACATCCAGCAGCAGCGTGGCCGACAGCAGCCCCGAGCGTGGCTCCAGCTCGCGCACCGCCACGCCGAGCACAATGCCCTGGCTCACGTCCAGCGAAAAGAAGCGCAGGTACTCGCAGCGCTCGAGTGCCGCCGCGTCCACGGCGTGCGGCATGTGCGCCTGGTACCAGCGGTTCAGGTCGAACAGCGCCAGACACGTGCACGTGGAGGAGCCGTCGGCAGTCCACGCCTCCCAGGCCAGCGCGCAGCGCGTGACGTCGCGCGACACGAGGCTGTCGTCGGCGCCGCCGCCGGCGCTGACGTCGCCGGCCGGCGCCGGCAGCGCGACGGCCGCCAGCAGACAGCTGGCGAGCACGCCGCTCGGGTTCGGCTGCTCGGGCGTGGTGGTCAGGTCATAGACGAGCTTGAGGCCGACCTGCTCGAGGCCACGGTAGACGGGCACATCCTGCGCCCACTGGCGTTCGCTGTAGATAAGCGCGTACAGTGCCGCCGACGCCACTGAGCCGCTCATGTCGTGGTAGGCCGGCACGCTGTGCAGCATCCACAGGTAGACGAAGCGGCGCGGGTCGTTCTCGGGCTCGAGGAAGACGCAGCTGACCACGGGCAGCAGGCCCGGCTCGTACCAGCTGGCAAAGTCCATCTGCAGCGTCTCCAGGTCCCAAATCTGCCGGGACACGGGCCGAGTCAAACGCGGGCACAACGATAGTGCGTTTTGAGCCCATTTATCCTCCACACGGCAACAGGAATGCTCACAGGGCATGCTACACGGTTGAAGCGTCGGGGGGGGGGGGGGGAATGGGCGGCCCGGGGTTCTAGCCTGGAAGAGTTTTAACACCCGCCCGGGTGGCCGGTTGAATATCCTTCGCTCGGGTGGGGAGAAGGCGGTCCATGTGACCACCTGAGATTTCAGCAACGAAGAAGGCTAGAGACACCAAATTCACGGGGCGCGTTGCCCTACATGTGAACTCACTTTTGGGATTCCTAGGTTATGACCTTCGGGTCAAATAAGTTGCAACATGACCAACCTCCAGACTGTTGTCCAAAAAGCCACCGGTTCTAAACCTGTTCTAAGCAAAAGGTCACTGATGCTCATTTAAGGTCAGTGACGTTTGACCATTCGCACGGTCATGGTGACCAAAATTATACAAGACTGCTCCGGGTTTTGGATTTTACTAAGTGTCAATGCTAACGACAGGCAATATGTTTTTAGACACGAGAGGTTAATCCCGGTCATTTTAGGTCACTGACCTATACTGACCTTCACGAAGTCCATGGAAGACGCGTGATGCGGTTTCTGTTATCAGTCAATTCAAAATGAGCACCAGACACTATCCCACACTGCAAGCTCTGGAGTAATAAAAACAGGTTGACTTTGACCTTGGTCTGACCGTTATACCTATATACACTTGGTCCTAGGCGAATGGAACTTGTTCATGAATTGTTGTGTCGCCTATGAAACTTTCTCAGAAATGTATGGCTTCGCCTAACGCTCCGATGCTGCATCAGATCGGACCACTCCCCAGAAATTGCCTTCGCTGAATCCATGGCCCGATTTGGGCCTGCCGTAGGTCAGCGACCTTACGAGGCACATCAAAATTTTTGGTGCCAAACGATTTGCTACTCAGTTTTCTACTGCTATTACAAATTGGCGCGGCAACGCTTCGCTGTTCCGAAACCATTCCGAAAAACCTTGGGGGGGGGGGGTCAAATTGAGCCACCAACCGAGCACATGTTAAACTGCAATAGCTGCGCCTGCTTCAATCTATCTTTCTCGCAATGTACCGAGTACAAACGTAGAGCTTTGGTGCGGCCGTCAAAATGGACAATTCGTCACCACTCCAAGACAAAATGTTTGAGATGCTGTATTGTAAATGTCCCAGGGACGATACAAAACCCATCACAGACCGCAAGCCGTGACTCTCAGTTTTCGGATCTGAAAGGAAAGGATACCCAACAACGGCCCATTATGAAAACACGGCTACAGGGCTCTCTTCCATTCGAGCACCTGGCCCCGACCAGACTCCCCGAAGAGCGCACCTACAGCAGGCGTTGGCAGCCAATGCGTCACCAATGCTTTGTGAAGGTCATTGCACGTTCTGATCAAATGAACAATCTTTACGCAACAATGTGGCGTGGTGGCGCTTGGGTGCGCCCGCCAAGTCTGCCATCTAAATGAGACGATTTACGATGGCTTCCTTCCGGGTGCTGCTCCAGAACCGCGATATCGACTTCCATGAGTTGAAACGTGGGGAATTTCCAAGGTGAACTGACCCTCCTGCACACCACATCGGAACCGCCCCTTGTATCGTTTGTTTTCTGAGTAAATGACTCCTCAAACGTATTTACCAATGAAATAAGCCCTTCAAACAGTGATTCACTGATGGGACAAGTCTCAAAGCATGGCAAATGCTGCATACACTCGGTGCCCCGCGCCCGGACAATTTGCACTGGGCAAGTAAAACCGGCATCAAAACCATAAACCTACAGTAAAATCCACATGAACAACCAGGAATTCCAACACTAGATCAATACTTTTTTTGAGACGCGACGCACACATCACAATATCTTATCCAACCACCAGGAAAGCTAAAGCTGCCCCGGCTTGAATGCTCGTAAAAAGGCAACTCTGACCAGACTCTGGTTGTCATGGCAGATCCAATGGCAGCCGGTCGCCGGCCGAGTCCGTCACATACCTGGAAGCAGCCGAAGCTGAGGCCGACCACCAGGCTGCGCAGCTGCGGCACGTACTGCACGGCCGACACCCAGGTGTCGGCGGCCGGCTGCGCGTGCTCCAGCAGGCCGCGCGCCGTCCGGTGCGCGAACACGCCCGCCTCCACGGACGCGTCGTTTAGCGGCAGGCAGAGGTGGTTGCCCAGCGCCGCCTGCTCGGCGCGCCGCTGCGCTACGGCCGGCTCCAGCACGGTCACGTACGAGAGCATGCCGGGCGCTCGCTCGTCAGTGCGCACGGGCGCGTCCAGGCCGAGGTCGAGCAGCAACACGAAGCCGTCCTGCGTGCCGACCGCGACCACGGCGGCCATCTCCAGCAGCGGCCGGCACACGTCGTCGGAGGGCGGCACGCGCAGCGCTGTCAGCGCGGTTACCTTGTGTGGCAGCTGGACGGCGCGCACCACGGCCGCCGCCGCCGCGTCAAACACGCACACCATGCCGCCGCCCCCTCCGCCGGCGCCGGTGGCCGGGCCGCAGTCGAGACCGACGGCTAACAGGTGGGCGGCGGCCGGCCCGGCCACCTCGGCCAGGCCGCAGACGGCCGTCACCTGGACGGGCGGTGCGTCCGGCCGGTGTGCGCCGAACGTCCAGGCGGCGCGCCGTTCGCCCGTCCGGCAGCAGACCACCTCGAGCGCGGGTCCATTGGCGGCCCAGGCCAGCCGGCCACCGGGCAGCGGCTGGCCGAACGGCGCGCCCGGCTGCTGGGCGGCGTCGACATCTGCGCCGGGGCGCGCCGCCGACTGGTGCAGCCGCTGGCGTGTGACGGCAGAGAACAGCCGCAGCCGCTGGCCGCCGCTGGACGGCGCCACCGGCATAGCGACCTCCTGTGGGCACCGCACGACAGCCAGCTCAGACACAGCATCGACACCGCACGACAGCCAGCTCAGATGCAGCACTGACACCACATGACAGCTGGCTCAGATGCAGCGCTGACACCGCACGACAGCCAGCCCAGACGCAGCACCGACACCGCACGACAGCCTGCTCAGACAAGGCGTCGACACCGCATGACAGCCAGCTCAGACATAACATCGACACCGCGCGACAGCCAGCTCAGACGCAGCACCAACATTGCATGACAGCCTGCTCAGACATAGCATCGACACCTCATGAAAGCCAGCTCAGATGCAGCACTGACACCACATGACAGCCAGCTCAGATGTAGCACTGACACCACACAACGGCCAGCTCAGAAACAGCACCAACACATGACAGCCAGTTCAGACGCAGCACCAACGCCAAATGACAGCCAGTTCAGATCCAGCACTGACACTGCACGACAGCCAGCTCAGATGCACCACCAAATGTGACACTGACACTGCAATGGGCCATGTCAGTTAGTGTGGATTCATATATGTGCGCTGTACACCAGAAATATACTTGACATTTTGATTCATTGGTGGATATCTACACCCTGCTGCTTTCAATTAAGTGCAAGCATGAAAACATGGGATGAAGTGCCTGAAGAATGTCACAGTCAAATATAAACTAGTTCATTTTTATCAAGGCCGGATAACATTGGTAACATGTCAAACAAGTAACACTGTCTGTCCAGGTAGAAAACTCAGTCAGAGCACCTGTCATTTCAATTTGACAAGCAGTGGAGAAATCTCATTGGACTCCCTGCTCACCATAATCAAAGACATACATTTCCTTTGCCTTGCTTTTTTAAACAGGAGCATCTGTTATGGTAGCAATACACTGATTCACCAAAATGTTTGTGAATTAGATGCTTGCACAGCTTGAAACATTCTGCTTGAAGAACAATACTTGCACACATGGAACTGTTATCCCTAAAATATCATATGATGCCTTTTATTTCTCCCCTATTGTATTTACTAGAGCATCTTTTCACATCACACTTTGGCTTTGGGAAAACTGGGTATCACATGGCCCATAGTGATGGGGTGATTCAAACCAATCCATTTTTTAGCAACTGGTCACTCTCCATGCCAATCACATATGTTCAATCGCATTGATGTCATTCACACCAGCAGAGGTACCATTAGGCAGAGGCCAGAAGGCCCACAACATTCAGATTGACACAGCTCCAAGGCAGTAATCCAACTGAAACAGCTATTGATCATCCTCAGGGGGCTGCTTTCATCATGATGATGGTAATTTACATGATGACAGCAGTTGCAACAACCACAGTTGTCATAAATTCTGAATACCCTGGGGATACAAGGAAAGGGAGAAGTCTGGTAAGGTTACATAGTGATGACAATATAATTTGGACTAAAAACAATTAATATCTACATTGTTATCATGCCTTGGTGGTGCTGCAGTGACACTATCCAGCAATCCACCAGTGTTTTTTTAAAAATTGTGTTCCAAGTTTCAAAGGTGGAACACCCTCTTTAAGCTTCTACCTAAAAGCTGAGCTATTCATCCAGAATGTCAAAATCAGAAAGTAGGCTCTGGCTGCAATTAAGCTTGATGGTAATTTAATGGTAAGTCAGATTATGGGGGAGGGGGAGCTTTCAACTTATATAGAAAATCAGTAACAAGATGAGCTCTAAGAAACATTCACAGCATTTTAGGAATTTCCAGGACCAAGAGCATACATATGGCTAAATAATATACCTATTGAAAGAGTGCATCAAAAATAGCCAAGATACACAACACATACCCAAAATTCAGTGTAGAATGATATGCAAGAACAGGGTGATGACCATCTGGGTTGATACACATGTATCTTTTTTGGATCAGTGCTATATTCATAGCCTGTTTTTAACTCCTGATTTCTCATGTACCCTTTATCTCCATAATCTATTGAATCATTTGAACCATATTGATCTTGGTATGCATAACCACTAATACCAGCAAAATGACACTTTCAATGAAATAGGAGCATGGATGGGTACACCAAGCACAATCAGCACTCCAAATCAGCGTGGCACAAATATCATACTGACAATTTTAGGATCGCCTCTCCTTGGCAATTGCACAGGGCACCATACTACTAAGAAGCTCAGCCATACATGACAAAATTAAGGAAAATTACCTACAAATACTGTGCAACTACTTGAGAGGTAGCCATCATATGACCAAACTGTTGGTTGTCATTTCCAATCCCATGCTTCTCTTGACAGACCAATCGCTACCGGGGTCTGTACCATTAGACCAATGGAAGTATGCAGACCAAGCTATGTTATTTAACTCTTCAAAAAACACGTTAAAACTTCAACCTGCTGCGCGAGACAAGTGCAACCGTTATGCGTCGTGACCTAGGTACCTCTAACAGGGCAGGAAAGTACGTTTCATCAGGCACACGTAGCTGTCTCGCAAACGGTCCTTCTAGATAGCAGGCGGTTAACTGCTACATACACATGTAAAATGATACAGTTAAAACATGCCTTACCGAAAAAAACTAGCAGTTAAAGCCACTATACAATACAACCGCCCCACTCCTCATCTTCGCCCACGCCGCATCCCTGCGATACAAACATCGCCGGCGCCACGCGCCTTCCAACGGAAAAACGTGCGATGAAATCTTACAGGAATAAAATGACGTCACAGATACCAAAATCCATGATGCCTAGGTAAACTTTGCATTTGAATGACGTCAAATAGGACAAAAAAGCGTATATCATTCAGATGGTTCCTTATCAACCAGTGGCCAAAAATAAGTTTGACAAATAAAAAAAAAGACACTTCCGATCAAACTGAATGGTCAACAATGAACAAAATCCACATCTCACCAGGGATTGGATTGTTGCCACTAATATGGACGTTTTCACCACTGGTCTAGTGTGTTACGTGAGTTGTTCGGTGCATTAGCGAGTAACATTATTCACATGCATTTATAGTAGTATTAGCCTAATTCCTTGTAGAAAAAACAGGTGAATGGAGATATAATTGGGTTGATATTTCGGCAACGTGCCTTTATCGAAACAAAAGCAGAAGTTATTCATTGGAAGTGGAAGTGTTCAATGCATTCGTTAACTGTAATGCTTTCTTAAGTCACCAAATACCCGAAGGAAATATCCAGACGGAACATTATCTACCAGATTGGCTAAGGCTCAACCAAATAGATAAAACGTAGGGAGCGTGTATTTCGCCTCACTGACGGTTGTAGTAAAGCGATCAACTTCCTCTCATAAAAGTTTTTCCTTATTGCCCATTGAGTTTCGCACATATCTACACATTCAGAGGCGTAGTCAGCTGGTGGGGGCTCGGAGAACATATCCTACCGCAAGCCTTTGATTGGCCTACGGGACACTTGGCACAGTCCAAGCCTATCTAACTGGCACAGGCTATCAACGGCTCGATTGGGGGCCCGAAGGGCTGGCTGTGGGACAATCCAGGGGCATAAGCCTGGCCCTCAAAGGTCGGCAGAAGGAACTCGTTGCGCTTGTCGACGGTCCCCGAGACGATCAATGCATCCATGTAGGTCCGAGACCACAAATGCTAAGTAGCTGGCTCTGAGCCAGTCTGGACCCTGGGGGCCCATTTACGACGCAGGGACAAGAGCAGTGTCTTCAATTGTCACTGAATGCACCTCCTTGCATGCACATGAATGCACTTCAGCACCTCCTGCGTTGGCCGGGGCCCCTGAAACAAAGTGGCTACCTGTTTCAAGGCACGGAGTGCTTAACAGGGGGGGGGGGGCTGTGTCGGTGTTAGGGCTGTGGACTTCTGCGTCAAAAGACGTGCGGCTGTGAGAAGGGAGAGCCATGTAAAGGGCAGCCTAGATGGCGAGGAACGCCGGAGTTGGGGCGCGCGTGAAGCTCGGAGGTTGACATAGCGTCGTGAGCACAATGCAGTGATTACATTGGTACCGGAGACTTCTATCCGGCGGCAAGGAGCTCCTTCTTCCCAGCCGACCAGAGGTTCATTTTTCTGGAGTGGAACAGGACGGGACCCTGAATGTCAGAGAGCCATTTACGTCGGTCGAGGTCTCCTTGCCTGACATGGAATGATAGTGCGTGAAATGACAATGAATAGCAAAAATGACAAATAAATGACAAAAATATAATAATAAACGGAGGGCCCTTCGGGGCTCCTGGGCCCTGGGTCTAAAACGAGCCCGTGACCCGCTAATTAAAACTGCGATCATTACTACGGTACATAGGCCCGCTCGGACGGCATACTTTATTTTGGCATAATTGTTTCAAAACGTTTTTGATTCGATGACTGAAGATCAGGCCTCACGCGAAGCAAGATTATCGTGCGTGCTCTGGCGCTCACTCTTGATATTGCAAACTTCCAAGTCTGCAACAAACATCTTATGAAAATTGTGGATTTCTGCAGTGCGCTGAAATCTGCACTTAACACTTTCAACAGGGTTATCAGTGATCATAATTAATTCATTAGTGAAGTAATTCCACAGCCAATCCAAGTGGCCCGGTTTTTATTGACTTCGTCAACCTGCTGTAACTCCTTGTTTTGTAGCTGCTGCTTGGTAATTTCACCGAAATGATATCAGGAGATGAAAGCCCCACCAGTGTACCAATTTTAGAGCACATTCAAGTAGTCCAATTTTGACGAACTTTGATTACGCTAAGGCTCCTTTGTTCTCCAGGCTGTCATTTAGCAATTTCAGCAGATTTATTAAAACATGAAACTGCCTAAATGAACTACTTTTAGTGTAAATTCAGTAAATCCGATTTTTGCCTTGAACTATTGTACATATTATAACTTTTTGTTTCTGAATTGCCACATTGCAATTTCACGAGAATGATGAGTTAAGCTTCATCTGTGTACTAGCTTTCAGAGGAATCCGAATGGTGCGCTTTCTGACCATGACCTCTCTAGACCTAGGCTTTTTTGCTTTGGACCTACCACCTTACACTTTTGTGAGATGGATCAGGAAGTTAAAATCTATCCGTCCGGCATTTTCCATGCATATTGAAGCAGTCCGCGAAGATGAGTCAAAATGCGGTCTCAATTTGTAGCGCATGCCTGGGCAAAGTAAGAAAACTTCTTTAATTTGGCAGCTTTGCAGCACCTTTTTACCAGAATTAGCGTTTTTGTGTCTACCTGAATAAATACGCGTGAAGCACCCTGACCGAGTGCATCAAGTATTTCCAATTTGTGGGTGGCCGGCAACAGTGCATAGTCGCTGTGGGTAAGAGAGCAGGCGGCTTGACCGAAACACAAGCCCTGGCTGCTGGGTGTGTGTGGGCGTTTTAAGATACTCTGCATCGGATAGTTTTACCAAGGTTAGTCTCCGGGAGTGCTGGGTGTTCCCATCAATACAATTTGTGTCCAGAAATATGACCTAGTTTTTAGTGCATCTAGTGTAATATGTGATGAAATGCCTGCCCCACACTATTCGAAAACATTGGGATGTTTAAAGATATTATGTATCAATACTCTTAAAGCCTGTCATGCCGTGAATAATCCTGCGTGCTGTTGTGACTGGCTTGAAATTTGGCTTAGTTTTGATATGTACAATGTGGATGAGTGGTGACAGAATCAACACGCATTGAATGTGAGAACCAACATAGTCAAAGGCTGTAGTGAACATTGTATGTGCTGGTACATTTCCTGTATTATTTAGTTATCCTGTATTATTTAGTTCAGAATAGAACCATCTGTATAATTCACATAAGTTAATTTTGTGTTTATCATGAGTAGCATACACATATTTGATGATTTCAGTCTGATTTTGGCTTTGTAAAGATTGTGAAAACTTTTTGTGAGTGTTTGGCTATGTGTTTATGATGGGACCATGTTGAAAATCAATCCCAGTTCAATTTCCTTTTCTGTTGTGTCTTCTCTTTTAGCTGAAGTGGACCTATAGTCTCAACTGCTAGTAAAACAAAGGCTCAGAACCCACCATTGGTAGAATTCCACAGAACTAAAGAGTCAGTGGCACCAATATCAAGCATAAAGAGGTTTTCCCAATGTCTACAGTCACCCCTCAATCTAGGACATCATGTTAAGGTTGTTAGTTAAAGTCACCCAGTTGCACCTTCCATGGCAATGCCACTACCAGGAGATATCAAAGATTATCTTTGTGTACTGGTTAATACTGCCATGCATTTTTTTGTGATATTCCAGCCAAAAATACAGGGGCCCAACCTAATGTTAGAGAAAGGCTCTCACAAAAGAATTCAAATAAACAGCTATGAGGATTAATACAGCAGGGATGAATTTGTTATGATAAATGCAGCAGTAGACATTCATTGTAGCAGCACAGTTGTAATAAACTATAAAGGGTAAACCACAAACCACATAGGGTGCACAACAAACAATGACCGGTTTGAACCTGCTTGTTGTACTTTTTTGCATGAACATTAACTGAAGTGAACAATTGACAAGTCTTGATGCAGTGAGTCAACTGGCACCCATTCACCCCGTACCTGGCCACTCAGCTCATGGTGCACAGCTGTGCATGGTCTACCAATGTTCAAATATGATTTGTAGCTAATCTAGAAGAGGTCCCATCAATTTCTGTTTTTAGTCTGAGGAGCAATCCATTGGTGTTTAGTTGCATGTCAGGTTAAAGAATATCAAAGGCATCATGTTTTTGAGAAAATGAAGTCAAAAGTCAAGCTAAGCCAGTACACATACCTAATTGACCTTGAGTGTTACATGGACCCATGTTTCAAAAAAGGATAGATATGATGCTTTCTGATGCAGTCTTCCCAAGCACACTCTGCAAACTGCATCAGCTAGAGCATGTTAAAGTGGGTTCATAATGTCATCACATATTTTAACCTGTTCCTAGTTCCTTATGTATGCCATACAACCATATAACTTGCAGAATTGTTTTTTGGTCATCCAACTACCTCTTAAACCAGTCCTTGTCAAACTTGAGGGGATACAGTGTTGAAATGCACCTATCCACAGCTTACATGCTTCAAACAGCAGCTTTTGAACCCTTCAGGTGCTGAACTGTGGAATGGATCATGGTCATTTGACATGGGGAGCTATGGGCACCATATCGCCAGTGCAGTTGCACACCATAAAGCCCAACTCATTATCACATTGGGGACTATGCCTCATAGCAGTGCAGTACTATGACAAGGATGTTGTGTTGCAATGCGGCTGGTCTTCCATGGCACCCATGTTAAAGTTATTGTGAAAATGTTGTGATTTGGTTTAGTGAAAATTATTCAACAATTAAGTATCTCTAAAAATCATCCACGGAGATTCTCCATTTACGCTCGCAGGTCCGGAAATTATCCCCCGGGTCGTCTCCCGTACGCCGTGCATAGTCAACGGTCACAGCTATGCGTAGCAAAAAACGGTTCTCCGTCTCCTACCATGCTGCGTAAGGTTTCGGAATTCTCCCTCGGTGCGGAAAATTCTCGGACAATTTTCCGTGGTGACAGCGCCGAACGCCATTACAGAAAACTTGCCATCAATTCGGATAATTTTCCGACGTTAGCTGAACTGTTATCTGAACTGTTATCTGGCTGAACGTGCCTGTTATCTTAATGTTATATGTATCAGTGAAGGATGCAATGCATAATTTGTCCCAGTCTTTTTTAATCATGCTGTGAGGAAAGTACGTATTGATGTGGAAGGCACGTTCTGAACAAATTTATGGTCTCAGTTTTAGGATCGACACAAAAGTAGCATCCGAGGTAAAATTGCATGGCATTGAGGGACAGATTCCTGGCTGGGCAAGGGCTTATCTGCTAGACAGGGAACAGGGAATTGTGCTCAATGGTACAACATATCAATGGGGAGCCAGTAGAGTGGGGGATTCCGCAGGGGCTGGTGTTGGGGCCTTTGCTCTTTACTATTTTTGTGAATGATATTGGGATATGATTAGAGAATAAGGAAAATTTGGTGATGATGTTTAAGTGGTAGGGGTGTCAAAAAATGCCAACTAAGTGAACCAAATTCAACCTGACTTAGGGGAAGTAGTAAACTGGGATTCTTTGTGGAAGATGCTCGATTCTGATAATTGTAAGATTGTGTATTTGGGTAGTTTTGGGTAGTGAGGGCATTGACTAGAAAATGGGAGGTTGGGAGTTAGACCAGATGGAGGAAGAAAATGTTGTAGGGTTTGTCATTTCGAGGGATTTAATGACTGAAAAGCATTGTTGGGCTGCTCTGAACAAGGTGCTTCAGATGGTGGCACTTATTAACATAAATGTGTATTAAGATAGCATTAATGCTGTCAAAAAGTTGTACCTAGCTCATGTCAGGCCACATCTAGAGTATTGTGTACAGGCTTGGTCCCCATACTTATAAAAAGATAAAGATAGGCTGGAAAGAGTACAGCAAAAAGTACCTAGGATAATTAATGGGATTGACAACTTAGAATACACAGATGGGATAAGGGCCTTGGATTTATGTTCACCGAGCTATCATAGACTTAGAGGTAATCTGATAACAGTATTGAAATGAGGATTATGAAAGACGTTTTATGATTAGGGGATTATTAAAGGGATCAACAAGGCAGATTGGCATGGAGCACTGGGCATTAGGCCAAGATTTAGAGGAAGCTAGTTTCAGTTACAAAAGGTGGGAGTAGATCTATAAAGCAGCTGATGTTATTTGGTCTAGGAGTAGTGGATGATTGGCATGGACTGTCAAAAGAAGTTGTAGGAAGCACTTCCCAGCGACATTTAAAAATCATTGGGACAAGTTCTATCGGTCTCAAGATCTCATTTATAGATAGATTCAGGCAGGTTGGGTGGTAAGACTAGTTTCGAGGATGTGTGCAGAATCTGAGGCTGGCCAACCCCGATGGGGCCTCGTAACTCTTTGTTGACCTGGTGTTTCTATGTCTTTCTGCCTTTATTTAAAAAGCACTACCTGGGAAATGGAAGCATATTCCAAGACTAAACTCATTGGTCAGTTTATAGGGAGGGGGGGGGGGGGGGTCGCTGGCTCGGGTCGCGGTGCTTCCGCATGTCACCCTCTGACCAGCCTGCGTGGCTCTTCAGCCTCTTCCTGCCTTCCTCGGCAGGCGGTGTCATCGCAGCACGGCCGCCATGGTCAGCTGCTGGCTGACTGTGTGCCGGGCGGCTGGGCGGGGCGCGCTGCTGGCATCAGCCGTGCCGCCGGGCTCGCTGGTCCGGCTGCCGCGCGCCGCGCGCTGGCAGCTGCAGCCTGCGCTGTGGCTGGCCGTCCCCGTTCAGCCGGCCTCCCAGCGCGGCGTCCACATCTCCTGCCAGCTGCGCGAGAAGGAGCTGCACAAGCCCTCCTCAAAGGTGGAAGAGTCGGTGGAGTCGCTGCGGGACCAGCTGAAGGACTCAGGAGGGCGATGCGGCGCCGGCGGTCGCGCCGCAGCCGCCGGCGCCGCCCGCGCCGCAGCCAGAGCCGCTGCCGGCTGTCAAGGAGCCACCGCGCCGCACCCTCTGGATCCGCTTCGTCGACGAGGTGAAGCACTACTATCACGGCTTCAAGCTGCTCTTCATCAACATCAACATCTCTCGCAGACTCGTGTGGAAGGTGCTCAACGGCAAGAGCCTGTCACGCCGGGAACAGCGACAGGTGAGGGATCTGGCCGTCACAGTAAGCAGCAGACCGCTGGGTTGCTGGCGAGAACGTGTCTCGGCTTCGGCTTTGCTGTATGGGTGGTCAGAGTTGAGCCCTTCTGCCCTGTCTGTGGTTGCGGGTGATCTTTAGAGCTGCGCTCGACGGTGGTCATCGTCCTCTCCTGATCCGTGTAATTTCTGTTTCAGCTGGTGCGCACGGTGGCCGACTTGTTCCGGCTGCTGCCGTTCTCTGTGTTTATTATCATCCCGTTCATGGAGTTGCTGCTGCCTGTGGCGCTGAAGATCTTCCCTCAGATGTTGCCTTCCACGTTCCAGACGTCTAACGCTGAGGTGGGTGGTGGAACAGTCGTGCTGACCTCGCTAGACATCCATTTCAGCTCGTGGGGGAGGGGGAGGGGGCTTTACAGTTTCACACGGCTTTCAAGCACATTGTTACCTTGTCATCATCGCGACGAATGCGGGTATTGCCAGTGTGTTGAGACGTCTGCCACCTTAGCACATTCAGGAGCACCAACATTTGAACCGCAGGAACTCGCTTCCATTGTATTGCTTACGATTGTTGCATGGTCGTGGGCTTATACTTGGCTCGCCGAGATAATATGATCAGTTCACAGCTGCGTGAAACGTTCCTGCGCCGTGTGCCAAACCCTTGTTGTAAGGGCGTGGCGTCCCGTGTCAGTGGCGCTCCACGTCATCGAGCCCACCACAGCTTCACAGGTGAAGTAGAGAGCGGGATGGCGGTGAGGTTCGAATTCCAAACGAACGATTTGCAATCCAAAATGCGGCCTCACTGGCAGCAATCGCTGCGTGACGTTGGGGACCTGTCAGAGTGTCGGGCGCCACTCGGTGAGCCTCGCGGTGGAGCAGAGACCAACCCGGCTGGGGCGGGGCTGTCGGCTCGTCAGTTGTGCGCGGATCGGGGAGAGGAGGCCGAGTACCGACTCAGACCATGTGACTACAGCCATCAGGGCTGTGGAGCTGTTGCGAGGGAGTCGCGGGATGTTGGGAGCCCTGCTCCGACTGCCACCTCCTCAGCCCTCGCGCTGCCGCAAGTAGAGCATACTCTGTCGCTCAGCACTGGAGGATGTGCTGGTGACGCCGCAGCTCGACGAGCAATCAGCCGTCGCCGGCGGGCGGCGGCTGATCGGTTGGCAGCGGCGGGGCCGGCTGATCGGAGATGACGCGGTCTCTGCCAGGGCAGTTGACCAGCGCCTGAAGGCAGCTGCCTTCGGCTGGTCCGGCGGGTTGGTACGGCGGTGCCGCTAGGCGACCGAGACCGACTTGCGCCGCTCCATCGCGTGGTGTGAACGGGTGGATCGCACTGGAAAGGTGCCACCGAGACACCCTTTGTTGGGCGTGCCTCGCACAGCATTGAATGAGAGCCAGTTGACGACCGTTATATCTGGAAATCGCGCTCATGAACGCCAGATATGGACGCCTCGACAATTGTATTTGTTTTTTTGCCTTGATCACCGCATGGGTTATGAAATGACAGGATTTGAATGACGTTATTAGCCATCACGAATGCCAAGGTGACTGAAATATTCTCTCCGGTACACCTTTCCCCATTTTCGCGGGCTTGTCGCTCAGAAACTACAGGGGCTCAGGTCTTAATAAGGGCAGGATTGTGAACGGCATTGAAAGTTACATCAATGCTATTTCGGCTCAAAACCACATATAAATGTGGAACACTCCCTTTAAAACATGACGTGCGGCGCGGGGAACGCATAAAGAACCACCGTTGATGTTTGCGAGGTATTGTGTTCGATAGGAGAGGAGCTCTTATTGAACACTTTTTGGTAGCATTTTTTGGTCGGCCCGCAAAAAGGCGGTAGAAGGTCCACTTCCGCGATAAGTTTGGCTTTTCTTGGCTGAACCTTGGCTTTTGACTCCCGCGATGAGCGTCCGTCAGCGAGGACCGCTACAGTGTCTGTGGACGGTGAGCCAGTGAGCCTGGTCACGTCCGCCGCCATCTCTGCGCCACCGTCAGTCCCCGGTCGCTGAACCGGGCGATGACCAGTTGTCGGGCCGTTGTGCACCGTCGTCGGTCCCTGGCGTTGGACCGGGCGGTGACCGGCGGTGGGGCCGCTGTGCACCGCCGTCGGTCCCCGGCCGCTGGACCGGGCGATCACCGGCGGTGGGGCCGCTGTGCACCGCCGTCGGTCCCCGGCCGCTGGACCGGGCGGTGACCGGCCGTCGGGCCGCTCTGCGCCGCCGTCTTTTCCCAGCCGTCGGGCCGCTGTGCACCGCCGTCGGTCCCCGGCCGCTGGACCGGGCCGTCGCCGCTGGGGACGGCGCGGAGCCGCCGCCGATGCACAGCGTTCAGGCTGGAGCCGGCTCCCCGTGCGTGGCGGCACCACCGGTGGCCTGGCTGTGTTTGTTGGATAGGACTGCCTGTTTTGTGATGGCAGCGCCACCGGCCTGGCTGTGCGCGCGAGGCGAGACGATCTGTTTTGTGGCGCCTCCGCCGGTGACCTGTCTACACGCGTGGCCCTTCCTCAGATAATCTCATCGGTGACGTCACGCGTACCACGCTCCTTGTTTGTGCCGTCCGTTAGGAACGAGGGCGTGTGCTTCTCCGGCCGGCGCTGATACAGCAGGGAGCTGTGATGCGGCATGACGGGCACAAAAAGCCCCCAGCGACAGGCCAGGAGCACTGGCCTGGGATTTCGCCGATGATATCAGCGTGCATACGGCTACTAGACAATTAATGTAACGGTCGGCCCTCACATGGCGGAAGTTAGATGGTTTACTCCTCTGTATTTACTAGCCCGTTACGTGCAATTGAATTTCACATGCTTTCTTTTACAGGGAATGACAGTGTAATGTGTCTCCAAAAACGATGTGTTTTCGCATAGCAGGAGGCAATACGCACACGTTTTACTTCATCAGTTAGACCGTGCCGTTAGACTAGTACTCCTGAGGCGGTAGCGGCAGCCAGTTCTGAATCAGTTCGGAAGGCATAACGATGGCTGCGCTGACGCGCCGTGAAGGCTCCGGTATTAGAATGTATTTAACGTTATTTGGTGCGTCGTTGGTGGCCCGTGGCAGGGACGGTGCCATTAAAACCTGGGCTTTAGACCTGTAATTCATATAGGTGTGTTTTTGCTAGTGATGCTGCCGATTCAAGAAAATATGGTGCCTAATGCGTGCGCTGCATTCATTGAGGTGTGGAGGTGCATCGAACATGTATGATCTACGTAGTCCTGTGAATCCAGGATTTGTATTTTATGCAGGCGTGCCGTCTTTTGAATATAACTGGATTTTGAATATAACGAACAAAGCTAACGCTCGGTGACATTGACTGTGATAACGTGTGATCACTTGTCTGGGATTACAGGAGGCCAAGATGAAACAGAAGCTCAAACTTAAGTTAGAAACGGCGAAGTTCCTTCAAAAGACCCTGGACTCGATGGCACTGAAAGGCAAAGGTCATTACTCAGACACTGCGAGGGAGTTTGCGGACTTCTTTAAAGAGGTACTTATAAAACTCTGACGCTGTGAATGGTTCTTAGGAGCCATGCTCTGTGGACCATGACTGAATGAGGTTTCCTGGTGATTTGATGGCAGGCAACATCTGTTTCGCAGTATCTGCAGGTAAGTACAACAGTTACCTTGTTCAACGTCTGTGGAACAACATTGCAAAATAAATGTGCTTGCACCTCAGTGGCCCATGCGTTTGAATGAGGCGTGTGCGTGATGCTGCCGTGCTTCCCTGGTGTTAACAAGCCAGGACCAGGGACCTCTGGTCAGTATTATGTCGTAGTGCCGGCGCCCCGCGGTCGTGCGCGGCCATTCTCTGACGGCGCTGTCGGCCACGTTCCAGATCCGAACATCCGGGGAGCAGGCCTCCAACGAGCAGATCATCAAGTTCTCGAAGCTGTTCGAGGACGAGGTGACGCTCGACTCGCTGGACCGGCCGGAGCTCGTCGCGCTGTGTCGAGTGCTCGAGATCCCGACGTTCGGCACCAACAACTTCCTTCGCTTCCTCATCCAGATGAAGCTGCGCGGTCTCAAGGCCGATGACAAGGTTGGCCGCGCCGCGGCGCCGAGGGCCGGTTGTTCGCTCTGGTCGTGAGGCGCGAAAAGGTTTCGATGCACGGGTGGCCCATGGTTGGTTGTGCCAGTGTTTGGCGGCATAGCATCCCTGTAGCGTAGGGTCAGTCTCTCGGAAAATTACTGGGTGTTTATCGCGTTTTCAGCGGGTGGGCTTAAGTCTTACATTGTTGAGACCGATGTGCGTTGAAAAGGACGACCATTTACAGTTATAGACGACGCGTTAGCGATCGCGTTGCCCGCGCTATCACTTAAGTTGTGTAGTGTCTCGTTGTCCGACTCGCTTTCAGCGACTGGCTTACCCGGAGCCTGTGATGTTGGTATTGCATGCAGCAGCTCCTGCGTGTGAGCCGGGGCGGGGCGACGGCGAACGCCGGGCAGGAGTGGCTGCTGCGGGTGAGCCGGGGCGGAGGTGACGGCGAACGCCGGGCAGGGGGTGGCTGCTGCGGGTGGGCCGGGGCGGAGGTGACGGCGAACGCCGGGCAGGGGTGGCTGCTGCGGGTGGGCCGGAGCAGGGGTGACGGGGAACGCCGGGACAAGGGTGACTGCGGCGGGTGAGCTGGGGCGGGGTGACGGCGAACGCCGGGGCAGGGGTGGCTGCTGCTGGCGGGCGGGTGACGGCGAACGCCGGGACAGGGGTGGCTGCTGCTGGCGGGCGGGTGACGGCGAACGCCGGGGCAGGGGTGGCTGCTGTGGGCGGGCCGGGGCGGGGGTGACTGCAAACGCCGGGGCAGGGGGTGGCTCCCGCGGGTGGGCCGTGGCGAGGGTGACAGCGAACACCGGCCCACATCGCCCAGTGGTCGACAGGACACCACGGCATGGTCACAGTCTCTGTGCCGTATCAGTACCTGTTTTTGAGGCCTCCGGGGTGGATGACGCGACCGCTAGTGAATCGCCGTACCATTGAGCGTCTCGGTTGGGGCGCGGGCTGCAGAAGCGGGACCGACGTGCTGGTGTTCTCGATTCTGCCGTCGGGTGTGCTGAATGGAGAGCACTTTGCCTGATATTCAGTTCTCCGCTGCGTTTGGACGGCTGTGTATGTGACTCCACGGACCCTTGCCGTCAGATTATCCAGCGGGAGGGCGTTGAGACGATGGTGGTGGAGGAGCTGCAGTCGGCGTGTCGCGCGCGGGGCATGCGAGCGTACGGTGTGTCCGTGGACCGACTGCGCTCTCAGCTCTCCAAGTGGCTCGACCTCAGCCTCAACGAGAAGGTGTGTCTGGCGCTTCACGTCGCCCCCCCCCCCACCCACCCACCCACCCCCACCCCTCCTCCCACCGCCGGTAACCTGGCCACTGTTGGCACCGAGTCGTTATGTCATGTGGTTTGTTTTCAGTCCGCTAAATGTGTCAGTAGTAAGGGTTGTAAGCAACACGAGATAATAAATCGGCCTCATGGAAGGAGCGTGCGTACGGCTTCTGCGCACGGCGTGGGGGGGGGGGAGGAGGGGACTGTACATAAGTAAAGCACGTGTGCAGCTCAACCCATTAAGTGAAGTTCCAATAGCAAAATGTGGTACAGTCTCTGGAAGTTTTATGGTGTCAAGTGGCGCGTAGAGCAGACGGCTAGTGGCTTCCACAGGTCTTCTGTAGGACCTCTGACCCGCCGGTGTCGTGTGTCACCTCACCATCGCGTGTGCGTGTGTGTGGACAGGTGCCCCTCTGACACGCCGGTGTCTTGTGTCACCTCACCATCGCGTGTGCGTGTGTGTGGACAGGTGCCCCTCTGACCCGCCGATGTCGTGTGTGTGTCGACAGGTGCCCCTCTGACCTGCCGGTGTCGTGTGTCACCTCACCATCGCGTGTGCGTGTGTGTGGACAGGTGCCCCTCCGACCCGCCCATGTCGTGTGTGTGTGGACAGGTGCCCCTTTGACCTGCCGGTGTCTTGTGTCACCTCACCATCGCGTGTGCGTGTGTGTGGACAGGTGTCCCTCTGACCCGCCGGTGTCTTGTGTCACCCCACCATCGCGTGTGCGTGTGTGTGGACAGGTGCCCCCGTCTCTGCTGCTGCTCTCCCGCGCCTTGTACCTGCCGGAGAACCTGCCTGCCGGCGACCAGCTGAAGGCTGCCATCTCCCGTCTGCCTGAGTCTGTGGTACGTTAGCGCACAGCGCCCGGCGCCGCCGACCCCAGCTCTGGCTTACTCTCGCCCGGTGGAGACGGGTTGCCATGCGTGTGATCTTGTGCGTGATTGGGTTTTGAGGTGTTTCAACGTTTTCAAGATGTGGGTGTTTTCTTGCAGTTGTTCTTTTGTTTGGTACCGACATCTTGAACCACGAACGCACTCCGCTCATCGCATCGGAGTTGATCATCCGGTGCCATTTTGATGTTTTTCTAGTCAACATGGTTGTCATTTGTCCATTTTGACATTGACCTGCCTTTGCTGTTTTGCGTTCGCTGGAGCTTGACTTTGTTTAGTCGCTCCATGTACGTTTGGAGCCGAGCCTTGTGTAATCTCCTTCTGTCTGTCCGAAGTCCGGCCCAGTGTCGCCGCTCCCTCTCTCCGGAGCTGGACCCAGTGTCACCCCTCCCCGACCCATTGTCACCGCTTCCGGTCTTTCCGGAGCTGGACCCAGTGTCGCGGCTCCCTGCCCGCGTGGAGCCTGACCTTGCGTAATATCTCCCTGTCTCCGGAATCTGACCCTGTGTCGCCACCCCACACAGGGCACGGCCACGCGCGCCGCCATCGGAGATCGCGAGGGCCGCGTCGACTTCAAGACGCGCGTGGACGTGATCAAGGACGAGGAGCGCAAGATCTTGGAGGAGGACGAGGAGCAGCGTCGCGTCGAAGCGGCTGCGCAGCAGCAGCAACAGGAAGAGGCGGCACGGCGCGCGCCGGAGCCGGCCGAGTTGGTCGAGCCGGCACCGGCGACGGCACCCGCACCTGAACCCGCACCCGCACCTGCACCTGCACCTGCACCCGCACCTGCACCCGCGCCCGCACCCGCACCCGCACCCGCACCCGCACCGGAACTGGATGCCGAGCTGCTGCGAGACACGGCACCCACATTGGCCGACCGGGCGGAGGAGGTGGGCGAGCTGACGTCACGTGACGTATCCGAAATCGAGGGCGCGCTCGAGACTCTGGCAGCCACCCGACGCCGGCCGCTGCTCGAGCAGGAAGAGCTAGAGGACATCAAGGAAGAGATGGCCGACTACCAGGAGGTGAGCAACCTGAGCTGAGCTGAGCTGTGCTGAGCTGAGCTGAACTGAGCTGAGCTGAGCTGAGCTGAGCTGAGCTGAACTGAACTGAACTGAACTGAGCTGAGCTGAGCTGAGCTGAGCTGAACTGAACTGAGCTGTGCTGAACTGAGCTAAACTGAACTGAACTCAACTGAACTCAACTGAGCTAAGCTGAACTGTGCTGAGATGAGCACCGCGGCCGGTCGGCTTGTGCTGGGGTGGGCGCCTTTTCCACTGTCCAAGATAAGGTGTGTAGACCCAGACAGCACATAAGTAAGCGGCGAATTACCCGAGAAGCCATAATCAGTGGCAGCGATGGCCGCGCGGATAATTATTTGTGTGTGTTGCTAAGAGAGTATTCGCACCACTTCATGGTCTTGATTGATCGGTAAGAGCGTGCCGTGCCGCTGTGCCCTGCGTCCGCTGCAGCGGCAGCGCTGCGTCCCGACTCACAGCATCCGCTGCAGCGGCAGCGCTGTGTCCCGGCTCACGGCGGCAGCGCTGTGTCCCGACTCACAGCGTCCGCTGCAGCGACAGTGCTGCGTCCCGGCTCACAGCGTCCGCTGCTGCGGCAGTGCTGCGTCCGTGCCCACAGCATGTTTACATGCGCTCGGTTTCTTCTCACGACTGCCGGTTTTTCTGTGGTCGGGCAGGATGTGCAGGATCTGCGGGATATCATGAACAAGGCCGGCAAGAAGATGAGTCATCTGAAGGAGACGAGGGCTGCTCGAGGTCTGCAGTACAGCGTTAACAGGATGATCGGCTCGCTCGACTCCATGATCGACAAGCTGCAGGCCAAGGAGAAGAAGCTGCATGAACAAAACACCTCCCGCGACGGCAAAAAGAGGCAAGGCAATGTGCGGAGTTTGATACATTTCGTGACGTGATGCTTTTTCATTTCATGATTGCTCGCAACTTTCTGGTATTTGCGTCGCAGTTTGCCAGGCATGGGCCTTAAGTTTTCATAATATCGTTTGAGTCATATTAGTATCGCTCTGGGATAGTGCTTACGATATTTTAGCTCTGTGCACGTCACTGGCGCTCTGATATTCGTTCACAAGCATAGCGGGGCAAGCTCATTACTAACACTTGGTGGCGGGTTGTCGCACAAAAGAAAAAAACTAGCGGGAAGTAGTGTAACACAAGGTGCATGCTTCGTTAGCCTTAAACCCCAGTATTTCATGTATTTGGTAATTCAAGTGGCATGACACTCCTCAAGCGTTCGGAAGTTGGGAATTGACAACGAATAAAAGCCATTTGTCTTTCTTTCATTCAGAGATCATTATTTCCCTCTCGGAGATTTGGTACGTCCGTAATTCCCCGCGATCTAACAGCGTCGCCGATCAGCGACCCGCGGCTTCGTGCCACCGCCAGGGTTGGTCAAGATCTCCCCTCGCCGGTGTTTCAGAATAACTTTGCAATCGTTCTAGGTGCCCCCCCCCCCTCCCGGCGATCAGCTGGTGTGGTGTCCCACCCAGCACGGCGCCAGCAAGGCGATTTAATGCTGTCTGGTCTCAGATGGTGCTGGAAGTTGGTACCATGGGTTATCTGATGTGTAGAATTCACCTAGCACAATATCAATTCCCTCTGACTTACGGATCATGGGATATGCCCCTAGACGTTTCCATAACTTGAGTCGGCATTGGTATGTTCTTAGCGCCTTTGCACCAGCAGCGTGCCCAGGGGGAGGGGTCTGGGCCTGTCCCCCTCCTTGGGCCAAAGAAGCACCAAAAATTCATGGTGAAGGGACATCAAAATCCTCATCTGGGATCCACATAGCTTTTACTTTCAAGGGGTAACAAGTTTCATGGGCACGACAAATGGCCCAAACCGTTATTTTTGAGAGGCATCGGAAACCAGGCAGTAGGCCCCAAACCTTCATTTTTAAGTGGCATCAGATTCCAGGGACGTAGAGTCTTACCTATCCTGCGAGTGTGGTGTTTCCAACCCTTTTAGCTTTTGTGGTCTCAGGGGTCTAAAGGGCCTCGGACCCTAGCGCGTGGCATTCAATCAGCCACTCGCGAGCCAGTTAATGAGGTCGTTTTTTTGTGTTGTCTTGCACAGACAGAAAAATATAATATCATTTCAGTCAAGGGAGAAAAATTCGTATGCCTATGATCAAATGTTTCATACACACGCGCGCGCTTACTGCGTTGTATGGTACAATTCTTCAGTATGCTAATCTTTGGCGTCGCGTCGTTCCATTTTCCTTAAGTTAATAGGTTTTGAATTGGTCAACTGTGCATTGTGATTTATCCCAGTGCCAGCATTGGGCGGCATCCTGTAGAATATAGGAATCGTTTTCGGCAAAGTTGCTGACAGCCACAGCTTTATCAAGCGCGACGGACGCCTTTGCTAGTTTAAAGGGAAAAGGGAGTTTAAAGGCACTTGGAGATGTTGGAGCAAGCATGAGATATCATGCAAGGAGCTCACTCATAACTATTAGTATGCCTTCAATTGGAAGAGACTGCTCTAGACAACACGATTTGTCTGCTTTTTGAACATGCTCCCCAATGCTTTATCGTTTGATGACGTCGTCGTTCCTTGCACAACATTGATTAGGAGCCAGTTTGCGGCTGTCTGGAAGTCGTGCTCACGAACGTCAGATGTGAACGACTCGACAATTTGGATTTTCTTGGCCGTGATCGCCGCGTGGCTAATGCAGTGACAGGGTTTGAATAACGTTGTTATGGCGTCACGGATGCTTTGGTGACCTTGAAATGCCCCCCCCCCCCCCCCCCTCCCAATAGTCTGTACATCTTCGCAGGCCTTTAAGTCAGAAACTAGAGGGGTTTGGGTCCTGAGAAGGACAGGGCTCTGACCTGCACAGACTGATCGTCAATATGGCTATTTCAGTTCAAAACCCTATAGAAATGTGAAACACCCCGCTTAAAGGGAAATAGAGGTTAGAAATAGAACGGGTCTGTCTTGATAATTTCCGACCACAATCCTTGCGTGTACTTGAAACCACCCATTTGTCAGCCTTCACGGCAAGACAGTGCATCAGGGATGGTATGGACAGGTGCGGAGCGGGGCCTTGACCCTGCTGACGTCACCCGACACGACGCTTCTGCGTGTTACAGCGATGAGGAGGTGGGCATCCAGGAGCTTATCCAGACGCTGCAGCACATCCAGTCGGTGCCCGACCAGACCAAGCTCAACACTATCGCTCACGTGCTCTCCAAGATGGACGACAATCAGGACGGCTCGATCCGCGTGGAGGACGTGCTGGACGTGAGTGTGCCCCAGGCCCCTCTATCGAGAGAGGAGCTGGGCCTGACCGTGGTCACGTGACGCCCCGGCCGTCAGGTGGGGTGTCGACGGGAAGGGATGTGGTCAGTTCTCACGGGATAGTGAAGTATTCGACGCCGAGACCCGGAGTCTGGGGATACGGAACAATAAACATGGGACGGCATCGGCGCGGTAACGATTTTGCGGAGTTACTTCTCCGTGGCTTACAGAAGATGTGAAAGAAGAGCTCTCTGACGATCGCGGGCTCAGGCCAGACTGGTTGATTAAAGCTCCGCGGCGGAACGGTGTTTCTCAGATTGCAGCGCGAGAGGCGCTGCTCTGACACGGCCTGCAGTGACTGTAGGCTCATCTGCTGTGGTACCGAGACCAGCGGGTGTAGTCTTATATGCAGTTGCCTTGCGGGGGGGGGGGGGGGTTCTAGGCTGATCTGGCTGATCAGTGGGCTGATTTGCTGTCGTACCGAGACCGGCGGGTGTAGTCTCATATGCAGTTGCCTTGGGGGGGGGGGGGGGGGGGAGGGGGTTCTAGCTCCCATTTCGGAAACAGCGGTGAAGTTCGCAGAGAAAACACGTTTTTGTGCTATTTTGTGTCGGGTTTAGCCATTTTCCCCAACATATTTTGTGACACTACGCCCGTGACCGTGATCGTCGCTGTCGCCAGGTTATTGAGCTGATGGGCCAGGATAACCTCAAGCTGAACAGCAAGCAGATGGAGGAGATCATTCAGCTGCTGGACCGCGAGAAGGTGCTGGATCTGGAGCGGAGGATCGAGAAGGCGCTGCTCCGGGAGGCGGAGGAGATCGCGGCGGCGGCGGCTGCCGCCGAGAAGGCCGCCCAACAAAAACCGGAACAATAGCACCCCTCCCCTCCCCCCGCCGCCAGCGCTCGGCTGGATATTCCGGCCGGATCCCGCTGGCCGGCTTAGCCCGGACGCGCGTACCTGCCCCGCCCTGGCGGCCTGTTAAAGATGAGATGTGCAATGGTCTCCGACGGTGATCGCCGCGCGCCGCTGCGCCGAGTACGGGACTTCGACGGTGGCGGCGCTGGCGTCGCGGCGCCCATTACGGGACTTCGACGGTGGCGGCGCTGGCGTCGCGGCGCCGCGTGGACAGTCTGTTGTCCTTCGGTCACGTGGCGTTCGCGTGGCAGGAGACGGCGGGGTCAGGGCCGCGGTGCGTGTGATCATTGGCTTGCGGCCCGAACCCCGGCGATACGCGCGATAGGTTCTGGACTGTTGTTAGGGACGCCAAAGTTGCTAGTTTTGTACGCTTATCTGTCCCACACGTTGTGACATACGGGGGCGTTGTTTCATGACCGGGTAAGGAACATGTGGGGGTAAATGCGTTACTTCCCCCGTCAGGTGAATATGCCTTGCTTAGCAATGATTGGGGCAAAGCCTCGTGGATTGGTTCGTGTAAATTATGCTCGCTCAGCATTTTTGTGCTGGCCACTATTTAAACATGAATCCACGTCAGTGCGTCTTCAGCAGGGAAGCTGACAATCCAACGCGTTCTGTGCACCTGAAGCGTTGCAAACCTCTTGACTGTTCCAGTCGCCGTTACCAAAAAAGACTCACAATCACGAACCAGGGCATAGTTTCCTATGACGAAAGTGCGAATTTGCGTTCTCTCGATTTGCGCTGCATGGACTGGTGTAATACTTTATGCCATAAGCAACCTTTCCGACTCACGCGGCCTATTTGGCTAGCATTGATTTCCGAATCGAGAGATCAAATATCCCCAGCTCGTTCCTGGTGCGTGTGCTACATCAGAAATACGAAATTTTAGGAGTTCCTAGTGTTGTCCCGTGAAATTAAAACTATGACTTCCCAGAAACCGCTGCCCAATATGCCAGAAAAACGTCCACTCCTGCTGAGGTAATGTGGACTAGGCAAATCCTGGTGACCTGTAGACTGGAAAACTAACTGGCTTTCCTCATGCGCATAGTACCCCACCCAACTGCGGCCTGTGGAGTTTTGCGCGCCCCGTCCACAAGCGTTTGTTATGAGTTTACCGACGTGTACTGTGGTGTTTATTCTCTATGCGCAGCGAGCCCTCATCAATGGTGCAGTGACATCCGGATCCTCCGGGCCCGGTGGTCTAGTCCTCGCTGCTTGGTCTCGTCGAAGTGTTTCGCTTCCCGCGCGATGTGGCTCCAAAGGAATATATGCCGCATGAAATTCGCCTGCACGCGTCTGCCACGTCAAACGTGGATCGATTTCACACGTGAACCATTCCTAACCTGTCAGTGGTATGGGAAATGGCTCCGGCATAGCAGATTCACTACCTGCATAACGTGGATTCTGTGTGATTCGGAATCTTTCGTCGTGAGTCACACGTGTATGCACTTCACCCACCACGAGATGTCCAGGCTCTCCGTGTAACCGAGCTACGTTTCGTAAGCGGCTGGCGCGCACAGCTTCTGCGTGAGGCACCTAACCCCGCCGGGCTCAAGCGCCGAGGGCCACTTTCAGAAGTGTTTCACGCCGCCTCTCCTCTCCGTAGACGAGCCTCCGCGCCCGAAGACATGGGGCTCCTGTTGACGTAGGGACGTAGACCTCTGCAGACGTACGCCAACATGTGTCCCCGACAAAGCAAGGCTTCGCGTTCGTCGCAAACTTGGGGAGAACGAACTCATAAAATGCACCATATTTTATATGTATTTAATTGATGATGTGAATCCCCGCATATATATCAGGGCCATTGGAGGAGCCCTGCTCCGCCGACTTGCGGGAAGTTGCGGCACGGCCGAAATACTAGCGTATACTAGCACCACCTCAACCGAACACTCGTCGGCACTCCGCACCTTTCAAACACGGCCTCAGTCAATACCAGGATCCTCATCTTGAGACCAGCGGCGTTTCACAACTCGCCCTTACGCCGGTGCCGAGGCGTCGCGGCGACAACACCGCGCCATCAGCGTGACGGGCCGCGGGAGCACCGCGAACTTGAGCGCACGGTGAGACCGGGCGGCGTGTCCACTTCGCATGCGGCAGCTGGACCGCAGAGACCGCCCAGACCCCGCCAGGACCCGGCTACCGGCAGCGGCAGGGCGGAGCGCGGCGGGCCCAGCACGAGCGTCAGTGCCACGCTACCTCGTTGGGGCGTTTGATGGCGCCCAGCTTGTAGTACTTGGCCGTGGAGAGGGCGTTACCGGAGGCGTTCGGGGCCGCGGCACCGTCCGCCTCGCGGTCGGCCGCGGCCGAGTTGTCGGCCAGCAGCTTGCAGATGCACTTCCAGTGGTTCAGGTAGTTGGCTTTCCAAAGTCGGACGCAACCGTCGTCGCCGGACGAGCCCAGAATGGTGCCGGTGATGCTCCAGGCCACGCGCCAAACCACCGACCTGTGGTCCTCGAGCCGCGCCAGCTCGCGCACCTCGTACGCCCCGCCGCCACCGCCGTTGTCGGCCGCCGGCGGCGCCAGCGCCACGATCCGCACTGCCGTCGACGCGATGCCGAGCACGTGGAACGAGCGGCCCATGTTGGGCGCGAACGCGATGTCGTGCACCTTGTCGGTGATGGCCGTCAGGTTCTGCACCTTGCTCCACTTGCGCGCACCCTTGCTGTACTCGAACACGAGCACCTTGGCGCCGCCCGTGTGCGGGTTGGCGGCGCCCACCTGCTCCTCGGAGCCGGCGGCCAGCAGCTGCGAGAGCCCCGACGGCGCCGGCGACCAGCTGATGCACGAGCCGGCGCAGCGCATGCTGAGTTCGTGCTCAAGCGACCACGTGCTCAGGTTCATCACGTCCATGGCTTCGTAGATGCGGATTACGCCGTCGGCCGACACGGTGGCCAGCTGGAGGCCCATGTAGCGCGGCGAGAAGCGGACGTCGGCCACCGAAGTGCGCGAGTCCACCAGCGGCGCGCGCCGGATCCACGTGTTCTGATGGTGGTCGCTGGAGGCATCGCTCACGATCTCCTCCCAGACAGCGGCCGTGCGGTCGAACGAGCACGTGGCCAGCACCTGGCCGAACTCCGGGTGCGCCCAGGTCACCTTCCACACGGCGCCCGAGTGAGCTTTCCACTTGCACGAGCAGTGCCACTGACCGTCCTCACCCTGGTCCCACACCTTCACTGTGTGGTCGCTGGAGCAGGTGGCCAGGCGCCGCCCATAAAAGTCGAACGCCACGTCGTTGATCAGGTCATGGTGGCCAGACTCTATATTTCTCTGCTTGAATGACCCCATCATATGGCAGTCTGGGCTCAGAGTTGTGTGTTACACCCAAGACTTGATGCTAGGGTGGACCAGTGACTTGAGGCACCACAGATATGTAACACCAGTTAGATCTGTCAATGAACAGGACAATTACACATGATTACCAAATGATACACCACCACAATTGACAGTGTACATTCAATGCTTAACTGGTCCATAAAGAAAAGGAACAATGAATGGATTGCAGCAATGACAGTGCATCCAATTCTTTGGATTGCCATTGTGGCTTCATGGACAAATATTCAGGTGATGACCAGCATGGCTGCCGCTTAACCTGATAGCATTGTTTATCAACTTGAGTGCTGGAGGTTGTCGTGATCATGAGAGACAATTGTCAGGACTTCATGCCTCATGTCTGAGAAATAAGCTGGGGATGGAGCAAGCCACTGCTGTGGCTGTGGCTTGGTTTGGAAATATGGCAGGCTCCATAGCCAATTTGTTGGTATTACAATGTAAGATGTTCAGAAAAACTTTAAATGTGTAGAATCTTTATCAGTTCACATTTTCTTTCTTTCTTTCATTTTCTTTATCAGTTCACAGTTTCACAAGAAAATGTGAACTGATAAAGATTCTACACATTTAAAGTTTTTCTGAACATCTTACATTGTAATACCAACAAATTGGCTATGGAGCCTGCCATATTTCCAAACCAAGCATTTCCTTTAAATGTGTCACACAGGGCTAAGTGAATAAGTGACAGTAGACATAATGAAATAATAATAATAGTTTACTTCATACCTCCAGGCTGATGCATATCTTAGCACACAAAGGTGTAGGACAAATATGCACACATACAAACATAGAGCAAGACAGATGCAAGACACCTAGCACTTGCTTCACAACAAAAAGGGTGGTAACAGGGCCTTATCCAGGATCATAACCTTATTCATACAACTGATGATGATCACAGACACACCAAACTAGGTTGGCCATGACAATGTTCTGAACATCTGACTTGCTGACTGCCCAGAGGTCTGATGTCATAAAATTGACCTTATGCCAGGCATGCACATGTGTCCTGACAATGACACCACTAGCTCTGGACAATGATGTTACTTGTTAAGGCTTCACCTCACCAAATCTACATTATTCAGAGCTTGAGAGCTTTGTTGAATCTCACACATCTTTTAAGAGTGCTATCTGTGGCAAAATAAGAACTGTCTCCTTTCAAATTTAAGTACACTTGTACTGTGACTGAAAATTGGTACTTGGTACTGATTCTTAGGGATAGAGAACAAAATTGTAAAACTGTGGCTTGTAGTGAGAACAAAAAAGCCCACATGAATACATACTGTGCACATAACTGATAATGTATAGCATCTTATAACAGTAGTTAGACAGTAAATACCATGCACTAGCTGGTCTCTGTGGTTGCCTAAGGCAATTGCAAATTGGCAGCCTATAATTCTGGAAGATTCTAGCTTCCTGAGTAAGTGTTTTCTTCCTAAGCAAGTGTTTCCTTTCTATATGTATGCTAAGGTATACTGCACTTTTTTTAGCTATGGAACATGAAAAATTGTTCATATTGACAGCAGCTTTATTCTAACGGTGCAAGTCTCAGCTGAGGGTGATAGAAACCAATGCTTCAAATGATGTGGACCCATTGCATAATTTCCCATGCACATCATGACAAATTCATGACTGAAATATCATGCAAGCCACTCTAGTATAAATAGGACTATCTGACACATGGTGGTCAGGGCACCTACCTAACAACCAAAGTGGAATCTTTCTCACCTCAGGTGTGCAGGAAACATGATACCCACCTGGGCTTCTACAGGCCTGGATATATTTAAGTTCGGACCAGAGGTGCAGTTACTATTTAGCTGGATGGAACTCCAGCCTCATTCACCAACTTTGAGAATAAATTTGATCAAATTAAGAAAGAAAATATGATTTTACACTATCTACCAGAGTTAAACACATTTTTTTCTGCCCAACCTCTTCCCAAGCTCATGTACTAAACTGCACCGTATGGGGCGTCAGACTGCTGTGTAATCGGGGTCCGGAGATCCGTACAGCAGGAGCAGGAGATTATTCCCTCCTCATGGAACGAACCAGCCCTGAATAGTTAGCATCCTCTACATTTACTTACCAACGTTGAGTCTGATACGATACTTTCCTCAGTGTATGACGCTGGGCTGAATTTTTCTTATAGACTTAACCAATATTCTGAACCGATTCTGCCCTCGCCGAACGACACGGCTTTCCAAAGCCTTTTTAAATTAACTTTGTATTGGTAACCCAGAATGCTACAGAAATAGCGCGCACAGAGGAACAGTCTCCAATGACAGACCCGCTGTCAGTTATTCGTCGGTTTCGGTATTGCTTTTTATGGAGTTTTGAATTTTTAAAGAATCATTATGTTGCAAAACCTAGCTCAAGCAAAAAATTAATTTCAAAAAATGCAACTAATCATCTAAACATAAAGCCAATAGGCCTGTCCGTCGGAGAATATCGTACTTCGGCTGCACACTCACAATTGGTGGCAGCGCTCGGTACATGGACGGAAAAATTGCAAGCCTTCACCCAAAGCCATGTTTGTACGTTTTCATACGTTATTCGGTCCAGTTTTCTCGGTGTCTCTCTCTCCAAGGCAAAACCCTTCCTAAGAGCCGGAGACTTCGAAGCCATTGATTTCGTGTGTCTAAACGTGTTTAGGATGGAATTTGACGTCATTGTTATACCTTACATCAAGCTGCATTTTTACAGTTCTAAGTTAGATAAAGATGAAATCAAAAAGTATTAAACATAATTTTGTATCAAAGATATGATTGTTATTTACGATATATATAAATATGCATATATATATATATATATATATATATATATATATATATATATATATATATATCAGCTCAAACTAGCTAGCGTTTTAAGGGCGTTCGTTCCCCAGCCTCAAAGCAATGTAAGGCGGTCGAGCGGACAGCATTCGATTATGGTCAGATACGAGACATGCTCCACGAGACATAATCATTGGTAAACCATCAGTTAATAGATTATGCATCCGAATATCTAGTCAAATCACAAAATATGGACAAACATAAGCACATTACTTTCCCAGCCAGTTCAACATCATGGAAAAGTAGAAACATCGGATCACGTTGCTGTCATTGGGCGACTGAACATGTCCAAAGTAATGGATGATTTAAGCTTTTTGTTGAAGTCAGGCATTCTTCCTCTGATGAGGATGACGTCAAGAGCTTGCAGGCGGCGTTTGTTCGGACATGATTTTAGAACCAGTGTGTTTTCAGTCAGGTCAGAGCGTAGAGGTTTCTGGTTGTGGGTTTTGCGCATATGTTGGTCTGGCGCTCCCTCCTGCAGGGGCATAGTCATGCATCGTGGTAGGGATATTGTGATAATTCCAATACGCTTCGCACACACACACATACACACACACACACACACACACACACACACACACACACACACACACACACACACACACACACACACACACACACACACACACACACACACACACACACACACACACACACACACACACACACACACACACACACACACGTATTTTTTCATTTCCTGCAATCCAGCAACGTTAAATCATGTCGTGATGAGCTACTCTCCATGCTGTTCTTCGTTTTCTCCCTTCTCGCCCGCTATCCAGCCCACCAGGAGAGGCGGTTGTTGTGAGTGCGGCGCTCGGAGGTAGGCGTCTGGGCGCCGGAATGTCGTCGGTAGACGGTAGGTGAGTTAAGCTCGTACTCGTGAGCAGGATCTGACCTGACCAAAGCGTGCATTGAAAAAAAAAAGTGTTATTTGATAAAAAGATTCTACTGAATCACCCGAGCAGCATCCCTTCTTTAGTTGTGGAAAGTGTGCCACGCAGCACTGTCGTAGTTTCAGGATGGGAAGAGCAGCTGACGTACATTCAAAACACACCTGTCGTTTAACGGTTCCGAAGCGGTAACAATTTTGCGGCAATCACCATGTAGCGTAGTCAGGCTACTCTTGCCTAGCATTTAATGGGTGATGGATCACAACACTTCCAAATCATGACATGAGTACGCTGAGCCACGAAAATGGTTGCATGTTGGTGCTAGCATAATTGTTATCATTCATATTGTTGTAAGGCATCCATCGTTACGTGGCCTGCTGTATTGCAGGACTAATTACCACACTCAGAGCCACGCTCATCCTTACCTGACGCCTGCACGCTCAGCAGATTATCAGGATCAGGATCGTGGCATGGTTGCTGGGATGATCTGGAGAGGGTGTCACGAGCAGGCCGTCATGTTCCCTACTGGGCTCAACAAGGGCAGCCGAGGAGCTGGAGGGAGGGGGGGGGGGGGTGCAAAGCAAACGACTGTTCAAATGCAAAGTATTTAGCCAAGCATTGCATCCTCTTCACCGCGAAGGCTTTACCATCACCGTAACGAAGAGTGTGAATGACTGCGCTTAGGGACATGTGGAGGAGAGGGGAGTATTGTTGCTGGGAAGGGATCGAACTGGCCTTACAGCACAATGACAGGATTAACAATAAGCCATCGACGCTAATGCGGTGTGCATTCAAACATTTGGCGAAGCTACGAAACTACCAAAGATGGCAAGCCATTCTAGACCCTGTTTTTTCGGCAATGGCTTTCGAGCTCACTGCCTGGCAGGAAGCAGTTTTTGCGGGAAATGTTTCAGAGTCCATCCGAATTGTATTCATAAGGTTTGATTGCTTTTAACGAAAGTCAAGGACACTTCTCATTCACGTGTGAAGTTAAAAAACGCGCCGGGAAATTCATCTTTGGTTAGAAGCTCTCGTGACGAGGCGGTGCCACTCCCGGATGACAGTGGCAAGGTCTACCCTGTCTGACTTTCAACCCGATATACAGAAACTGAGGAAGCTCAGCTCAGAGTAGCTCTTAAAAAGCCTACGTTGCTCGTGCATGCCCGAAGGGCTCTGAGGACGCCTTCAAGCTGCGATTGCCAATGTTTTATGACATTGGTGAAAATTGTTATACACCAATCTGCCTGAACCGGCAAACACCAACTTCTAATAAGTGAGATTGGTTGTTGTAACACAATGAAACGATTCCGTTATAAATAGGCAGTGTATAAATGAGCAGGACTGAGCTGGCCGGTATTATATAAGCTTATGTTTTGAGTTTAGCTTCAGTGACCGTATCAGTGCCTTTTGTGGTACAATGCAACTGAAAATGTCTGGTTAACCTGCGGCATAAGGCGACCAACAAAGGGCTGCAGACCGTTATCAAAAGGCGTATTGTTCTTTTCTGAAACTTGCACCGCGCTGAGAACACATGCACAGAATGCAGAGAGCACGTCCCCAGGAAGGATTGAGGCCATGGGTCTGTCACGTCAGAACTCTGATCTCACTGGATCCCTCTCGGTCGGGTTAGTGGTGCTTGTCCCCACAGCCGGGCTTGTATCGTCAAGGAACAAGATCCGTTACAATCGAGGCTCAGGCTCAGCTCCATTTGACCGTCTTCTGAACAACCAGCAGCCTTCTTGGCATTCTTTTTTTCTCTTCATCTCCGTTTTCGTCCACACAACTGCCAACAACTGCAGGTCTCTTTACAGTTGTGCAGTTTACACAATTGGCGACGCTAGCTCTGGAAACACCAGAACCATGTCATTCGGCTTGCTCTTGATCGTGCTTTTTTCTCGTGAATTTGATCGCGTTTGGTAGCGCCAAACCTGTGATTAGCTACATGCGTATAAATGGGGGCAGTGTAAGAATTTGCAGTTTATTTCCGTATGACGTGGACGGGCGGTTCAATTTTTATACCAAGTCCACCATGACCCTTGCGCACAATTCAATGTATTCGCATGTTTGTGTCCTCATGCTCTTGGTCAATCCTGTATGAGATGGAAGGCTGGCTTCCAATTTTCGCTTCCGTTTACTTCATCTTGTTTTCCCTTTCGTATGCGCTGAACCCGTTTGAGATCACAAAGAAAACAACACACTTTCAGAAGAACACTATTTAACCAAGCGTGTGCTTTTTGCCACGCATGCGATATCTATATAATTTCCACATATATCAGATTCGATAGGCAACATTTCTTATCATGTTTATAGTTATATTTAGGAGAGAGATGTTCTTACTATTTACGTGATATGGGCCGACTACCATTTCAAGGACGATGAAAGCGCGAAAAGAAACTTCGCAAATTACAATCTTTAGTAATCATCGACACTAGAGTACAGTTTTTCATTTTAAAACTCCCTTATGACAGACAGACGCAACCCAGCAGCCAGCTGACATTTGCGACCTGGCGGTGCTCCGACGACAGTCGTGATGACATACATATCCCTTTTTGGCGATCAGACATACAGATCCATTTTTGGCGATCAGACCGCTCGGAGCGACTTTGGGTGAACTTAGCAGTTGTGCAGACGACGATACATATCCAACTTCATAAATGACCCCTGATGAGGCTCCTGGCTATTGAGAAGTCCACCGAATGGAGTTGAGCTTGGGCTTCGGCTGTAACGGATCCCGTATGCTCGACGTGCCAGGCTGCGGGATCATGCTCGATGGGCCCGACCGTGGCATATCTAGTTTGGTCGACGAGTCTGAATAAAGCAGGTCCGTGGTCTCAGAATCCCTCTTGGGGCGTGCTTTTTGCATCGTGTGCATAGCTTGTCACTCTCTGATGCAAGTCACTGAAGCGAACGGTGGTCTACAAGACATCTCTTTGTGACTGATCACATATCATAATTGGTCACTTTATACTTCAGTACAGACGGACTGACGTAAGCCATTCCTTGCGAAAGGCATAAACGCTTCATTATCATTGTGCACGTAAAATTGTGGTCAACGACAAGCTCACGCTAAGCTCATGCCGCTAAGTGAGCCACGGCTGAGACAACCAGTGCCATTGGGTGTGAGGGAAATCCCCGGTAGTCGCGACGCTATCATCTTTCGAACAATGACTCCAGCCGTCTGCAGTCGTCCCTCTGGGCCAGCACTGTCTGTATCATCAGCGCGGACCGGACCGGCCGGCAGGGGATGAGTGGCGCACGGGGCCGTCCGGCACGGACTGCGGCACAGCCCGCTGCGCCTGAGCCCGGTGCCCCACAGCCTGGTGCGTCACAGCCCGCTGCGTCACATCCCGCTGCGACTGGGTCTGGTGCCTCACAGCCTGGTGCGGCACAGCCTGGTGCGTCACAGCCTGCTGCGACTCAGTCTGGTGTCTCACAGCCTGCTGCCCCACAGCCTGCTGTGCCCATGGGCGGATCCAGGATTCCGTCAAGCGAGAGGCCA